GTTTCTTTGTACTTTCCTCTTGTCCCACTATCATGTTCTGCCTTCATTTGGGTTTTAGGCATTCCTCTTGGTTACATTGCCCTTGATCCAGCCCTGCAAGGCCTCCCGCACCCTTCTTGACATTGATTTTGGATCACTTGTTGTTCCCTTGTCTCTGTGCTTGTTAACACCCTCTTCCTTCCTCCCCCCCATCCCCAACCCCCATGCTCCCCTGATCTATCATCCCGTTGTTCTCTCTTCTGGCTTGTTTATTCCACCTATCCCTTCCAGGTAGACATGAGTGCAACGAAGCAACAACAGAAAGTAAAACAATGTCTACAACAACAACAATACACACATATGCATGCATATAAAACCGTATGAATAGTTCAGGGTCTGTTTGTTTTCTTTCACGTGTGCTTTCCAGTCAAGTCTTATTGGGTGCCATGCCCCGGCATGGCCTCTATCCCTGAGGATCTCACTACTCTGCTCCCCCCGCTGCTCTGATGCATGCCCCCAGGGGCTGGCGTTCAGAGTGGTGAGCTCATGGCGGGCGCAATTCCCGCTGTTTGTCTTCAGTGCTGTCCTTTACATTTGGCAAAAATGTAAGTTGGGAGATTGAAAGAGTCCCACAACAACAAGACACAACTGAATTAGTAAAACTGCTTTGTGCTGCACGCAGCAGAAAATCAGATTAATAGTGCCTCAAATAATAAAAAAACAACATCATTTTTCTCATAAACTAGATATGTGAGATAGGAAAGTTCCCAGACTGGTTAATTCAAGGACTCATGGAAATAATTAGGGACCCACAGTCTGTAATTCTTAGCATCTTGGTTGGTCCTTGAATTGGCTGCTCTTGTTAAAGAGAGCTGCAGCAGCGTCAGCCACAAACATAGCTATGGCTAGGAGTAACAACAATGTCTTCTCACAACATACTTTTTTTTTAAAGACCAAAGGAAAACTTCCTCAAGGAACCAAAACACCATCCCATCTTCAACTTTGGCCAGAATTGCTATTGCAGGCCCATTCCTAAACCAAGAGAAATGAGTCATAAACATGGTTGGATTTTGATATCAAGAACTTTTGTACTCTTTAAAATTGAAGACTACCAACAGTTTTGGTTATCTGGGTTATCTCTGCCAGCATTCACCACATTAGAAATCAAACCTGGTACTTCAAAAAAACTCACTCTTTTAAAGATACTCAGGTAATAATTTATTTTATAGCAATTAATACCAAACCAGTCTCAAGAAGTTGGGAGACTGAAAGAGTCCCACGAGCCCAACTCCTGCATGATGATAGTCCGATCCATCTTTCCCCCACTCCTCCCTAATGGATCTGCTACGCCTCTGGTTTCTGTGACTTGATGCAGTGGTCTCCAGAAAGCACAGAACTTCAAGAAAATGCCTCAGTGGGTGGTGGGCATGGTTCAGTCCACAGCCTCAAGGTCAGGCAGCGTTAAGTCAAATGCTGGGGCCAGAGCACATGCTCAATGCCTTATTCTAGCTCTTGATAAAGACCACTCCTCCTGCTTCTCAGAGGACTCAGGTTTTACCCAGCAGCGTGCCTCTCTAGGGGCACCTGTTCGCAGTTGATCACAGGTGAATCCTATCAGTATCTTCCTTCATCTTATTAGGTCCATGAAGAGAAAGGAGGTTTGATGAGTGTTAGAGACTTGGGCTAGAAGAGCCAATTCCCTGCCTCTGCAGCTATCATAAGCTCTACTACATGATAACAACTTATTTTAATGAAAAAATCACTATATTTTCAAAATTATAGCAAAATGACAAGAGTAGGGTTGCTTTACTTTTTGTAAGTCTCTATTCAGGTCTGGCTTAATTGAACACAGCTGGATTTTCATGTCCACTCTGCAATCAGTCTGTGATGGTGGTGTTTCAGTTGAAGTACGGCACGTGAAGAAAATCTGGCCTCTCGGAGATGGGAGTTGGGAAAGGGAAGACCTGGTGGGTGCAGGAACCCCAGGATCATCTTTGAGGAAAATCATAAGGAAGCCAATCAAGATGCACCTCTTCAGTTCCCAGCCTCCATTTATTGCGTGTGGCTCTTATTTGCCTCCACAAAACAGATTTTTGTTTTCAGCAAGGAAGAAAGGAAGGCAGTGGCCCAAGGGGAGATAGTTCCAGGGGCTGCTAGGACAAATGCCCAATATTCCAGAACATTAGAGACACATGTCTCCCACACAACCTTCAAAACAGACCAGTGAGAGAAATGGGCACCAATTCTGCGAGCCTCTGTTAGCTTTATTGGCCAGTTGTTTTTGAACAGATCTTTTAGTGTCCAGGGTTACTTGAACTAGATAATTTTTGTATTTGAGCTAACCACCCCTCAGCTTTGTTCAGAATTGCTATTGTGCATGGCAGAAATGGATCCCATATTCTGAAAAGAGTTTACTTACAAAACAAGTGTACCCCAGAGCCGCCCAGAGAAAAAATTTATAAGAAATAAAAAGCAACTGATGTGTAGGTCAGTGAAGGAGAAAATGGAAATTAGGACATTAGTGAGTAGTTAGTAGAGAGAAAAATAAAGTAAAATAAGGAGTTAAATTGAGTGGGAACTAGTTTCATGCAAATTTGGTTTTAGATAATGTCTTAATAACAGAATCACATCCTTGATTGGACATACAGTTAATTACATTAATTGAGGAGAACAGATTTGGGATGTTCATCTTTATTGGATTTCACTTAGGGCTGGAAATTTCAACTATGAATGAATAATGAGGATAATGAATCTGAAATGGTTGTGTAGGGAAAAATCTATCCAGTGTGAAATGTAAAGTGATTTATTTCTGCAGCCATGTCCTTACCGGGTGGAGATAGACACAATACTCCTGTCTACTGGAAGTGATAATGTGTTATGGTTGAAGACCCAGAGTCAGGAGGTGCAAGACTTGAGGTCCAGCTCCAATGATACCACTGGTTATTTAACCTGGGGCAAGTTACTAAAACCCTAAGGTGTTGATTCAAAATGAAAATGACTCGCTTTGATAAGCAAATAGCCCCCATTGATTCTCTCCTGCCTGGTGTACTCCCATGCTCCTGGTTTTAAACGGGTACCTTTCCTTTGGTGCTCTTCCTTTTTACCATCTCAGTTCTTTTCTTCTGCATTGCTCTTCAGACTGTGAAGCTCGTTGTGGTTTTCAAAGTCTACGTATAATCACTGTGTTCCATGACCCACACGGCATTTCCTGTTCATCCATTTTACTCCCGTCTACTCTGCTTTTTCAAGAGGTAAAACAAAGAACTCAAAAGTTCATCTCATGGAGAGCCTTTAAAATCGTCGTCCGTTTGCTGTTAATCCATTTTATTGAATCCCAGCTTCAAATTCTCTGTCAATAGGCTCAACCTGTGCTTCCAGGGCAACCCTTATCCTATTAGACCTCCTCTGACCAGGATATGGAAGTGGGTGACTAAGCACTAGTAATAGGAGGAGGGCCACAGTACAGAGCCAGGCCTTGGATGACAGGGAGGACAGTGCCAGACGAGATTGCAAAGTGCTTGGGCTGGAGCTCTGGCTCTCTTACAAAGCTTTTACAGATTTCTCCCATTTTTCTAGTTTCATATCCTTGTCTACTATGAGATTGAATCTCCTAATTTCTGGGGACCTTTTACAATTTCTGAATGTAGGAAGTAATGAGAAAAGAGAATTTTAGAAGAGTGTATCATTTGGGTTGTTGTGAAGGTTATATATGAAAGGAAATAGAAGGAAAAATGAGGTCTAAATTTGGAAAAGCATATTGGAGGTTGTATCATGCCATCAAGAGATTCTTTATCAAAGTGTTTGGGAGCTACAATATGGACCATTCTTGTTCCATGATATTTATATACCTCATAAAAGGAGAATTCTAACTGAACAAAAAACTACCATATATACTCATGTATAAGCTGAGTTTTTCAGCACATTTTTAATGCAGTTTTTGTGGTAAATTAAGTGCCTCAGCTGATATTTGGGTCGGCTTATACTCGAGTATATATGGTAATTGAGACGGCAGTACAACAGAATCGCTGGACAAGGAGTGAGAAATAGAAAGGGATAATATTTAAAGTCATGCAGAAGTATTTTAATTTTAAGGAGTCTTCTCTTGGAGAAATGAAGGAAGGTAGAACCGTGTTGGGAGAGTAGAATTAGAACCAGTATTGTAGTTTTGTTTAGTTTTTCCTCTTTAAATGATAATAGCTAGTGTCTTCTTGGAACAGTAGGTTTACTATGTCCTTTGGGTAAAATTGATTGCACGTTTTGAGTTAACTCCTAATATGAGCTTGGTTGGCTCTGATTTCACAGTGAACAGCAATATCTGTGTACACTTCCCTCTCCAGTTTCTTCTCGTTGTCACTGTTAATACCTGCAGGTTGCAGGGCTTCCTCAAAAGATTTTCTTCTTACGTTACGGGTTGCTGACCAATGTCCTTGCGAGTAGTTCCACGAGGGGGTTGTTTTTCTTTTGATGAAATGCCAGTGTTTTCCTTGACTCTTTTTGAACGTGGGTGAAGCAGACCTTTGAGGAAGCTGACAAGAATGGTGATGGTTTATTGAATATTGAGGAGATCCACCAATTGATGCATAAACTAAATGTCAACCTGCCCCGACGGAAAGTCAGACAAATGTTTCAGGTGCGTTTTCACCATCCCTTTGATCCTGTATGAAACCTTTTTTGGAGGCGATGGATGTACTCTGACATCTTAAGGGCTATTTTGTTTTGGTGGAAACTAATATTACCTGATCTGTACTCTATTTTTCTTTGCTTTTGCTTCATTCAGGGAAAATAAACTTCATAATCTTAACATGTACCCATGGTTTTATTTCCTAAAATGCTTTTTTTGGGTTGTTGTTGTCATAGGGTTAAGGATGAATACTTTACCTGACATTTCAATAGTGCAGTGCACTTATTCAAGCTACCTAGGGTGATACTAGATTATCTGCCTACCTCCTAGAGCTGTTGTGAGGATCACAATAAAGAGTAAGTAACACAAAAAAGAACAGCACTTATCTAAGTCCTCAAGGGCCCTTTGTCTGTCTTCAGAGGAGTCTGTTTAAGATTTAGAATTCATGAGGTTTCCAAGAACTGTACCATCCCTACTATGTAGGGAGCTCACCAGAAGTTATAACCACTGCTTGTTGATGTTTGACAAGATGCTCTTTCTCAGTTGGTAAGTAATTGGGCCCTAAGCACAGCCCAAACTTCTGTGGTGTCCAGCTGGGATTGTACTGAGTCCCTGGACTCCGGTGCAGAAATGAGCTCTGTTCACTTGAAGTCTGGGCAAAGACAAGGTGGGCTCTTGGTCAAGCTAATTTATAAAAAGGCTCTTCTTTGTAGGAAAGTAAGATGTATCCATGATCTGTGTTCTGCAGTGACTTTCCATCTTAGGTTACAGGCAGGTGCTTTATTGTACACGAAAAAGCAAGCAAAGGGCTCCATGCTTCATGCTTCGTTTGTTTTCTAACCTCTTGTTCTTGGAGGTGGTAAAGGCAGAAGCAACATGGGGTGTGAGTTGCAACAATGAATGGAAGCCCTTAGGATGACTTTTGTCCTCGGGACCCTCTTGGCTGGAGATAGTTTGCATCCTGGGGGAACTTGACACCATTGACCTGGAGAGCAACAGGAGGAAAGGAAAGAAGAGAAAGGAATGTAAGATATGCCCTTACCCAGAGCCTTCAGGGATGGAAGGAGAGACCTTGGCTGGCAAATGAGTCGTCACCAGCAGAGCAGCACGCTCTCTGTCATCTCGTTTTTGCCCTGTGGTGCCCCATCTCGGAAGGTCTTCCTTCTCACAGGAGGTGTTTCCAGGACTAGAGTGGTAGCTGCCAACTTAATAAGAGGAGTCAAGCTAGAAGAGGGCCAAATGTATGCTGATAGCAATGATTTTACTTTGGGAAGTCAGATATTGGATTATTTGAATTTTCTTTTATATTGTTCCCCTCCAGACATCTCTTTATCTGTAATGTATTCAATATTCGGAGAGGGAATAAACCAGGGAATGTTTATGTTAAACGTCTTCAAGTTTCAAAGTGTGCTTTAGACAAGTTTTAAGACAACATTAAAAGTCTCTTTTGTGTGTGTGTGTAATTAATTAGTTTTATTGTTGCATAGGGGTTCCATTGTTCGTATGCGCCACACCTTGTTTGTTCATCAGTTGATACTTATTTATTGTTTCCATCTATCGTGAATAACACTGCAATGAAGATGGTTGTTCATCTGACTATTTGTATTACCCTTCTTATTTCTCTCGTGCATAAACCTAGGAGTGGATAGTCTCTTTTATGGCCTTAGATTAAAAACCTTACCAAGCCAGAGTGACGAGGTGAGCAAATGTGTCTGCTGTACGCAGGGCTTTTCCATCGTGGGCCATGCATCAGCTGACTTCAGGAAATGCTCACAGTGGGAGTGGTAGGACGCACTATCCGAGTGCTGGTCAGGAGCACTCTCTTCTTGGCTGCATTGTTGAAAGACAATAACGCCTTCCTAGAACTCTTCTTTTTCTTTTTGGAGCAGCACAAGGTATTTTTTTGAGGAGTCTTATGAAGTATAGGTTGGCTCTTTTGAAATCAGCCTCACCTAAAATCTGTGTCTGACCTACTAAATATTGGTCAAAAATGTACCTAAGTATTGGGTCATAACTGACCCCAGGCTAAAATAAAAATGAGCCCTTTGATTTTCAGATTTTCAGAGCTATGTTTAAAATAAACATATGTCAACAGTTAAGTGTTATATTTTCAACTTAAAATATGTTATTTCCAAACACATAACTTGCTTTGTTGATTTATAAATATGATATAACCAGAGAAATTGGCTTGTATAATATTATCTTTCTAATTTGTTAGAACTTCTGTTGTGGCATGATATATAGTTGATTTTTCTAATATTCAGCATGTACTTAAAAGAATGTGTACTCACCATTTGTGAGGTTATACAGTATACATTTTATTATACCTACTACTTACTTGTCAACCTGGTTAGGTGCCCCCAACTAGTTGTAAAGTGAAAGTAGGTGAAAATGCAAGATGACTATATCATTTCAGAAGATGACTTCTTCATTAGATAGCTGCCAAATTACATCGTTACATAACCACCAAACTACTGAGAGTCATGGCCCAGCCAAGATGACATGCGCCCTTACCTGGGACAGTCTGCGTTACTTTCAGCTCATGTCTTGGTTACTGCCAGATACATCTCACAACTGTGCAAAATAGGTGGATAGTAGATTTTTCACTAAGGTAAATGCAAAATATTGGTTGATGAGATAGTTGATACGCGAGGAGTACTTTCCCAGTACTGAATCTCTGTTGTCAAACTCTTACACTTTTTTTCCTTCTATTTTCCTTTCAGGAAGCTGATACAGATGAGAATCAAGGAACTTTGACCTTTGAAGAGTTTTGTGTTTTTTACAAAATGATGTCATTGAGACGGGATCTCTATCTGTTGCTCTTAAACTATAGTGACAAGAAAGATCACCTAACTGTGGAAGAACTGGCTCAGTTTCTGAAAGTAGAGCAGAAGGTACTGTTAGAATACAGCATTTATGTTTACTCAGAGACACTGTGAAACACGCATGAGTTTTTCTTGATGCTGAATGTAGTTATACATTAAAGTTAACATAGGGATAAGTATCACACGTACTCTTGAGTTGTTTAAAACGTGGTCCCAGAGGTTTTTAAGAAGTGGTAAATTTAAAAAAAAGTGGTAAATTGAATAATAGCTTATAAAATATTCTTACTCTAAATATGTATTTAGTATGGATATGTATCTATTTCTTCAGACAAATCAGCGTTAACATATATTTTATTTAGAGACAATGGTAAGCTTTCTGTCTTATTAATAATTTAACTAGGAACATTCACATTTAACTATGGTATACTTCTTAACTGGTAATATAGTAGGTTATTGGAGATTCTGGAAATTGGCATTTCATGAGATGAGAAACCTAAGTAAGTTAAGTGATGATAAGCAAAGTAAATCCCTAAATTATATTTAGAACAATAGACTTCCATCAAGTTGATTTCAAGGCTTAGTGACCTTATGGGACAGAATAGAACTGCTCCCAAAGGTGACCAAGGCTGGTCCTTATGAGAGTGAGCATCTTATTTTGCTCGGAGTGGCTGGTGGGTTTGAACCACAAGCTTCCTTTGACCCACTGTACCCCCAGGGCTCCTTTATGCAGACTGACAGCTTTAAAATGTGATACTACATAGATGGAATGATGGTTAACAAATGCTTCATTTGTTTTGTAACCAAGTTAGAGGTAGCAAGACAGAAGTGTCATGGGATGTGAGTTGTGACAATGGATGGAAGTCTTTGAGATGGTCTTGCCCTTGGGACCCTCTTGGCTTTGAGATGTTTACCTTGTGTGCAACTTGACTCCATTGCACTGAAGAGCAACATAGGGGGAGGGGGGGAGAATATGATGTGCTGGATAAATGCCCTCAGGGAGAGAAGGAGAGACCTTGGCTGGCAAACGTGTTGTCACCAGCAGAGCAACACGCTCTCTGTCATCTCGTTTTTGCCCTGTGGTGCCCCATCTCGGAAGGTCTTCCTTCTCACAAGAGGTGTTTCCAAAACTAGAGTGGTAGCTGCCAACTTAATAAGAGGAGTCAAGCTAGAGGAGGGTCAAGTGTATACTGATAGCAATGATTGTACTTTGGGAAGTCAGATATTGGATTATTTTAATTTTCTTTCGTATTGTTCCCCTTCAGGCATCTGTTATCGCTAATGTACTCAGTACTCAGATTTTTAAAAAATTGCCTCAAATTCCTCATATTTTTCTAAAGTAGAGAATTAAATGAAACTTTTGTTAAAAAATGTTTAACCTTTTATTGTAGACTTTCTTGTGAGTGTTTGTGGAGGGAAAGTTTTTGATTTGGCTGCAGTTGGTGAGGCTTACTTTTACTTTTCTGTAGGGTTATAGACTCACAGGTTTAATATAAAGGGCTAATCCCCTTTATCCATTTTAAACACAAGGCACTTACTGTGCTGAAATCGTAAAAATTTTGTGTATTTGGATTTTATCTTACAATGATTCAGTAGAAAGAATTCTTTCTACAGTGCCTATGAAAATAATTGTGAGCTTATTTCTTTTTGCTTTAATACATTTTATTGAGATATAATTCACATTCCCCCAACTGTATCCCTTTCAAGGATACAGTTAAGGGGTTTTGCGTATATTAACCTATTTACACAACCATCACCATTATATTAATTTCAGAAGATTTTCAGTATTCTAGTATTGCTGCCTGTTAGCAATCACTCTTTATTTCCCATTTCTCCCAGCACCTAGCAATTACTAATCTCCTCCTGCTCTGTATGCATTTGCCTGCTGTGTATATTTTTTAAACAAATTATATCATATAATTTGGCCTTTTGTAATTGGCTTCTTTTGCATAGCATGCATCATATTTTGAAGACATTTCCATGTTGCATGTTTAAACTAAACCTCACTGCCATCAAATTGGTTTTCACTCAGAGGACAGACTTGAACTGCCCCCTGTGGCTTTTTGAGGCTATAAATCTTTACGGAAGCATATAGCCTCATCTTTCTCCCACAGAGTGGCTGGTAGTTTGGAACCACTGCTCGTGTGGTTAGTAGTCCAACTTGTAACCCACTACACCAGCGGGGCTTGACTGTATGTATGCTGTATGTATCAGTACTCAATTCCTTTTTATTGTCAAGTAAAATTGCATTGTATTACAAACATCTTACTTATGCATTGCTCATTTGATGCATATCTGGGTTGTTTATATGTTTGACTATTATGAATAGTGATGCTGTATGAACACTTGTTTGCATATTTTTTTTGTGGACATATATTTTTAATTCTATTGGGGAGCTACACAAAAGGAATTGCTGGCCATATGGCTTGAGTACATCATCTATTCTGGTTCTGGATGTTGATAGAACGTCATGTAAACCAGAATAAACTATTAATAGGATCTGAAAGAGAGGAACTAAAAGGAAACCCTGCTCTAGAGTCAAGTCACACTGGACGCAACCTTATGTGGCAGAGTAGGACTGCACCACGGGGCTCCCCAGGGGGTCAATCTCTAGGAGAACACATAGTTCATCCTTCTTCCTTCTAGTGGCTGCTGCATTTGAACTGCTGACCTCTTGGTTAGCAGCTCCATGCTTAACCCACAGTGCCACCATGACTTCTAATGAGTAGAAATATGAGTCAATATTGTGATATTCAAGGAAGATACATTCTCATTAAGTTTAACAAAGTATAACTGATCAGGGATGGATTGGGGACTTTGCTAGATAAAAGTAGAGGTTTCAAAGTCGAGGTTTTTCTCAGACATGCTGCCATGGGATGGGGTGTGATTTAGGAGATTTAATCATGGGTGGATTCTTGACCTAGTAAGAACTAGTTAGATTAATTTACTCCCTTGTACAAACATGTTATATCCTGAGCATTGTGCTACATTTGGAATGGACAACACCTAGTCTCAGAGAGTTTAAAATAAATGTGTGTGTGTGGTGATATTTTATAAATTTGAGTTAGTGATCTAATGAAAGAGAATGCTAATAAGTTTTTAGGATTGCCTGGACTTTATCTTTTTAAGATAGAATAAAAATAATTGTAGTTATTGCTCTGGTACTATTTGTTATGGGTTTTTAAAAAACAAATATTTTTGTTAAGATAACAAGCATTATTTAGTAAAACCTTGTTGTTATTATTAGTGAGTATGTATGTAATCATGCTCATTAAGATTTAGACCCAATTTTGATTAAATTGATATTCTTGAAATAACTTTCCATTTGAAGGTATTTCAATTATTTTAGCTTTCTTTAATTTTACTCTCCCTTAACCTAGAAAATTAATCAATTTTGCCTGACATAGCCTAAGCCTTTTTGACAATCATAATGTGAGTCAAGTGGAGACTTGTAGGTTCATAAGTAGGGAAAAGGCTCACTGATTTAGCTTAGGATAGCGTTCTTAAATCTACACTGCTTGAAATGTACAATTCTTTTTCATAGCACTTAAATGTAATTAAAAAGTTTCTTCATATATAGATTAGTTTGATGATCAGATTCTGTTACCTTTTACTTTATTAAGAATGGAAAAAAATGTAGAATATATTTGGTAAACTTAAATCTGTACGCCTATTTCTTCCTCTAATTACCTCCCCTTGAGCCTAGGCTCAAAATGTCTTCATGGATTTTGAAAATATCACATAAAGCTTTCCATAATATGTATCTTAAGTTATAATTAAGAATGCAGTGAGAGAATATTAGTTACACACATGTAGTTACACACTTAGTTTTTGATGCTAATAAGATAGGTAGGATCCCTTGTGGCAAAGTGTGTTTGGCTGCTTAACTGTAAGGTTGGGAGTTCAAACTTACCAGGTTTTCGTCAAGAGAAAGGTGAGCCCGTCTGCTCCGTAGAGATCCGTAACAGTGTTGGAAGCACTAAGGAGCAGTTCTGCTCTGCCTTAGCCAGCTACTGGGAGTTGAAATGGGCTTGTCAGCAGTGGGCTAATGTGATAGGTATAGAAATGAGGGCTTCTCTTAGTTTTATCAACATTTATTTCAATGACATTATAAAATATTTCTCATATATATATATTTTTTAATTTTGAGAAGCCCTAGAAAAAAAATAAATGTCTTCATCCTGCCCAGCTTTGACTTAGGTATGTGTGTGTCTTTGGGTGAGATGGGGGTGTGTAAGGGAGGGACAGATAAGCAAAGAACTGACACAGACAGACTGATGTCCACTGGTCAATTCCACACACAGATGTGTGGCTCAGATGCTACTGAAGATACTAGCCCTGGCACAATATCTCACAATGCATATACCATGAGCATCTCTTACTTGAGATTTGCTACGCCAAAGTAGGAACTAAATTTTAATTTCTTTCTTGATGCCTCTTTTGAAACAAAATTCCTGAGTTTTAATGCCTGAGATGAGCATTACGTATTCTGATATATGTTTCTTTTATTTTTATCAAGAGTATGAATAAACTCTTTTCAAGCAAGCTAGCATTTCATTTGGTTTTAATGGATTTTTTAATTATTATTAAATTATATGGTAGAATGTAGAGCCCTGGTGTCTTATCAGGTTACATGTAGGGCTGCTAACAGCAAGGGCAGCAGTTCAAAACCTCCAACTTCTGGAGAAAGTAGAGGCTTTCTACTCCCATAAAGTGTAACAGTCTTGGAAACCCACAGGGGCAATTCTACCCTGTCCTACAGGGTTGTTCATTAGGAGTCCACAATGAGTGAATGTTGTGGTTGAATGGGATTGAGCAGACTTAAATGACAGCTTTGTTTATTCTGTGGCTTTGATCACTGCTCCTTACCCCTTTGTCCTTGATTTTGTGAATTATAAAATGATTTTAGTAGTAATATTGCTCTTACAAGACTGGTGTGAGGATTAAAGGAGCAAGGGGTATAAATCCACTGTCTACTGTCTGCCATATTAGCCTATCAATAACTGGTGTTATTTATTTAATAACACAGATCTGGCCATTTCCAGAGAGTATATATTAGGTTGTGCATGAGC